TTATTGACCCACCCCGCTGTTATGTGTATACATGTTTATATTTCGCATATCAACCACTTCGCATCCCCCCGTTACCAATCGCCAAAGTTCGACGTACGATCGTTTTCGTTATTATCTCTGTCATAATCACAACCGCCGGATATCATTGGCGCAATTATTTGCAGCTTGAATCTGAATCGGGGCGAATTAGGTAATTTAATTTACTTTGAGCAATCAAAGACATAGGCCAGTATTCATAGTTTAGTTCTTATATTCAAGATCGTCTTAAGTTCAGCCTTGAACGTGTCACGAACCAATCAGAGGGCCGCATTAGCGTCTTAAGACATTACTTAAGACAGCCTTGAAATAAGAACCGACTATAAATACCGGCCATAGAATATGAACTGTCATCCATATCTAAATATTGTATCAAATGTGGTCAACAAAAATAAGAGAGAAAGAGTATGAAGACAAAAAGTCTCCTTTTCTAAGATATTGTGATTGGTTGAATAGAAAGAGACAGAGAGATCGTCTTTGCGTCCTATTTCTCTCATTTTTATCGATCAATTTTTCATACGGTTGGCGCAGTCCATCCTCTATATCTTTAGACGCAATCACACGCAATCATCTCAAAGTAACGCTGCATAATTCACGTTACTCGTAAGTCGACGAAGCTCTCGTCGACTTGAGACGGATCGCTGGATAAACCGGCGGTTTTGCGTGTTAACGAACTCGAAATGAGAAAACTTCGCAAGAGTTTGTCGGCCACGCGGTGACGATGTATCTCCGGTTGCATCTCTGGAAAGAAGTCTTCTCTGATGATAATTATTTTATAATTTTACTTTAATCGCGTCTATTATTTTTATCTCACAGCGGAGAATTATTCCTCCCAATGAAATTGATTTCTAAATCGTTTGAGTGGAAAACTGCAAACTGTGTTCTCAAGCGAAGTTCAAACTAGCATCAATTTATTCAAACTAACTCGTCGTTATCATGGAAACAAAATATTATTCAGCAGAAACGAGGATATTTAATTAAAGTTCCTTTCGAGGACGTGTTCTCTTACGGTTCGAAAATTGCCTCTGATCCGATTACTTCCAATCATCAGGAAAGGCCATTCGAAAGCAAAGGTTTCATTTCTTACGCGCGGAAATCGTTCGTGCGACCGTACAAACGTGTAAAAAAATGTCCACAGGAAATTACAGACAATTAGATATCAAGGATCTCTAAAATAAGAGCATTGAACATAGATTGTAAAAGGGGGCTTTGATAAGTTCCATTTGATTTGATTAATTTCGCTTTCCGGAATTCGGCCATTTAATTTCGCTTCTATATAACCTCTCTCGAAATAAATGGGCATGACCCAATTTGAATTCCTAACAACAACAACCGTGAGGGGAGGATTTTCAAGAACGGGTTCATCAAATTAAAGCGTATTGGTATTAATTTACAATCCCTAAAACCGGAGAGATTTGTATACGAGGGTATGATGTGTTTATTGATTATCTCTTGTGGAATGCTTGATGTCCGATGATTTCCACCCTCCGATCGAGAGGGACACGTGACGAGGAACGTTGTTGCGCGAGGTGTGCAACGTGTCCATTGCAGAGAACGGATACAATCCGCCGCATTAATTCGATGGATGCAGGCGCATTTGAATGTGTGCGAATCGGGTGGATGTAATCTGTACAGTGATTGAATACTGCGCCTACTATCTGACTTTGCCCTCAATTAACATTCGCTTTTGTTTTCTCTGCCTTCTTCCCGTCAGAGCTTGGAATAATCAATTTTTTTCTCTTGCTTGAAAAAACGTATAAGGAACGTTTGTTGTGATAAAAATATCGCCCAATGTGCAGTTATTTCTTGTCGTTATGACAAGTGATGATAAGTTAAGGGCTTACTCCGGACAAACTTGCATAGCAGCATACGCTCTAAATTCTCTGGAGGAGAATCTCACTTTAAAGAGTGAAAATTGAACCAGTCTTGAAGAAGATTTCTGGCTCAATCGTGTTGTTCTCAATATTTCATATTTAAGAGTGACATTTCACTCTTCAGAGAGAAGATTGTGGGACAGAAAAAAATTTAACCAGAGTAAGACATAAGCTGTAAACAAATCAACATTTTGGATTTGCCACAACTTACGTTATTGCCTTACGTCTGTATTATAATTAGTCGATTTGCTAATTACTGCAGCGTAAATTTTATCTTAAAGTTTTTTTGTGTTTACAGTCTTAATACATGCAAGGAAAAATTAATCACGCATATAGTGTGAAGAACAGCGGCATCCTTATATCAGACACTTAACCTGGGAATAGTCACCAGTTTTTTTTAACGTAAACCAGGAATGATTTTTAAATCCCAATTAAAAGTAGTCGTATAAATTACATGTTGTATATTACTGATTGTTCTACAATTTATTAGTATTGATGATTATTATAGGTTTACTGAATATTACTTACTTATATAATACTTTTAAAAACATACTTTTTAAAACATGTAAAGCAAAATTAAAAAAAATCACTGGGCATCATTTCTTCGTTTTTTGAGTGTAAAGATCGTCCCAAATGACTATTCCTAAGTTAATCGCTTAGTTTTGTGTATATACATTATGCAGCCATTCAAGTTTGTCTTGATACTTGATAGGCCTTAAGAAATCGATATCACTCTCTAATTCGCAGACATTCGCAGACGTCAACTCCATTGGGATCGAACTGGTTTTTACCAGCAGCGCTGTTCGGATTTGGCCGTGATAACCGACGATTTAACACAGTAACATGTGCGAACAGACAGTTCGAGTCGAACGTCGACGTAGGTCGCGCCGATAGCCGAACCCTGGTAACCATATTTGACGTAAAATCAATGGCCCCGTATCTGCGAAAACATTAATTCGGCGCGTGGGCGGACAGCTGGAAGGATATAAGGTATAAAGGCTGAAACAGTATTAATGTTGACATTACGCTGACGTTCTCGACGGGATCGTCCTTGCTTCCTCGCGCGGCAAAAGTTCGCCCAGGCGAATTCATTAACCATGCCAGGCCATTTCGACGCCAGGACGTTTCGAGTTTCGGATGAAAGTAGAGATTATGAAGAGTCTTTCGTGAAATTATCTCGACGGGAAAATCGATCCCGGTGCGATTCCTCCCTCCTTTGAAACTCCATCTCTTCAGCTTTATCCGGAAGAGAAATCATTTAACGATATTCACTGGAAAATCTGACGAAAGAAAAACAATTCCACTTCGGTGCTTTTTCTACCACCACGACGATATACACTCGACGATATACGTGCGCGATCTATATACTTATCGATACTTTTGCGAATCGAAATACCTTCTGCGGTATTTTTCACCTCGTGTTATTTCGCCCGTGTCTTTGCGATCCTTTTAGTTTATTAAAAAACGCAATCATATAACAGTCTGTAAATAAACGTGCGACGCTAAGACCGCTCCTCGAATTATTATACCTGTTCCTGTGATAGCAGAGACAGCACATATAATTCGAATTTCTTCTGAGACTTCGAGTATTTAGATTCACGTTGTCTTCCGTATTTCTTTCAGTTCCCGAGTGAAATGATTAATCTTCTTCCCGAGTCGCACCAATTTTTTTCCCCAAATAAAATAAATTTAGAGTTTGTTGAAGGACTTGTTCATTAAATTAGCTTCCTGAAACATTCCGTATTTGTTGGAGGCACATATTTTCATATTGTCGTACTCGACGTTGTACGACAATATGATATTAGTATCGTCGGGAGCAATGAGTCTCGTTGTCTACAATTCGCAATTTCCTGGGAGATACGGCATCGTCGAAAGAATGATGTAAGTAGTAAAAAGTAGCATTTTCTCATTTTCTCGAATCCTCCGCCTGAAAAGCGTAAATTAATGCTCGTGAGGTACGTTTGTTCTCATTTCCGATGATCGCCGATATGTATCTGCGAGATTCTTCCAAGACACGAAATGACGTTCGTTTATTGTGATTCCCACATAAATACTACTCTTGCGAAGTACTTGGCCCTTTCAGAAAAGCACGATCCTCTCGATGTCGAAATCGTTAGTTCGTTGGCTAGAAGCCAAATTCAATATCGGGAATATGAAGACCCGAGAGAAAAGATACTCCATGATATACTTCTTTGCCACATTTATCATCTTCGCAACACAGCGAGCTTTTTGTTATTCTCAAGATTGAATTAAGTTTCGAGAAACTTGAAACCCAAATTATAAACGCGTAAAAGAAATTTTCTTTTGCGAGCGTTTAACGTCGGGGAAAAGATAGATTGAGTAAAATGAAAGAAACTGGACGCTGTACATATGCACGTACATGCGAAAGGATGTGAATAAACAATGAGATATGAATATGTATCGTAGGATTTAGTTCTATATGAAAATTGTATATTCCATGTACGAAGGGACGTGAGATGTGTGCGTGATAAATTTATGAACTTATTGATCCATAAAGTTATCAAGTCAATTGGAATTTGAAGCTGTACAGAAGTTGAACATAGAGATCGATTGAAATTAAAAAGTGTATAGAAAATAATAAATTTAATAATTCTCTAATTAAGAGAGAGAGAAAGATAACTATTATTTAATAATATATATAAAAAAAAAATTATGATACATAATTAATTCTTTATATTTACATATCTCATTAATTGTATATATTAATGAGAGTAAACAGATACATTTATTTACTAAGATGTAATTGACGCCTGCAGATCTACTTGTGTTAAGAATTGCCCGCCAACTAGTAAAAGCATGAAATAAACTCACTGCAAGTGACGAACTGTGATACAACATGACGAATCGTTTACATTACCGTGACTTTTTTTTTCTTATTCTAGGTGCGGCGTGTGTACAAATAGACGCGTCGCAGGAATTATGTCGAATCACTCGATAATCGGATCGAATTTCAAACTCACCCCGGCGCTCCCGTACGATCCCGCTACCGTCCCGAGCAAGGTGCACTCGTGCGCCGAACACGGGACCGCGACTGAACCGTCGCGTCGTACACGGACGGGATCCTGCGCGGCGGACGGAGGATCGCCGGTTTCCTTCGGCACCACTTGCGCTCTGCTTCGTGCTTGGGCACCACCACGAGTTTCAGGCTCCGACGAGCACGATGCGCAACCTCAGAAAATTTATACCACCCGCCAGATTCTCCACCCCCTTCCCGAGCTGCACGGGGGGGGGGAGGTGGGGGCGGGTGGCTCGGAAGCTCAGCCACAGCCATTCTTGGACTCGTCGAGCGGATGAATTTTATGATGGGAATTTCATCCGCGCAAATTCGATCGGGTAAACCGTGTTGAAATTGGCACGTTCGACAACCCTTGTCGAATGCAGGTAAGTCTGTTTTCTGAGATGGTCACGCGGAAGCACCGCACGACTTTGGACCCTCTTATTCAGTGAAACTTGTGGCTTTATAGTCAGACGCGCTGGCAAAATTGCGGCATAATGTAGTGCGAATAGTATTAAGGATTCGCAAATTGAATTCAGTGATCGTCGTAACTTGCTAGTTAAATGCGCGTCGTAGAAAGTGAATGCAGACACTGGAAAAAAATTTATGAAAGCTTAATATATATGTTTTTTTTTTAATACTAAATAAACTTTTACTTACAGTAAACAAATACTTATTAATAAAAAAAATTATGATTTTTGTATCGAATAAATATATGTTTACATTTAGTAAATATTTACTTAGAATTATTTAAACATGTATTTATTAAAATTTAGTTTTTTTCCAGCGCAGCAATAAATTACGTATTACTAGCATACGCTGGAAAAGAGTCTGACTGCATTAATTGGAATTATGGTTGAAAATGAAATCAGAATTTTTTTGGTTGAATCTATTAAATTCTAGTTGAGAAAACCAGATAAAAAATTCTCTGGTTCGTCCATTTTTAACCGGAAAATTGTTCTCAATGTAATATTCAAAGTAATATTTATATTTAATAAAATTTGGCACGTCGTAATTTAACAGTTTTTTATTTACGCGTAATTTTAATTTAACGTCAATTAATTGTTCCGCGTGATTAATTTACCGTGTAATCTTTTTTAGCAGCAAATTTCCATACAATTCTCTATACATACATATACATATATGTAAACAGTTACATGAACGGGCGACTGTATGTTAAATGTTATGTCGTGCTTGGGTCAGTTAATTGGTCAGACCAAGCTAGTTAGTTTCATTACGTTATATCCATCTTCGTGAGTTTCACACAATAAACGGCTCTTCCAATATCGGGGTCACTAGGTTTGCTCACATAGCTTAGAGCCTCTTTATCCTAATGTTTATTGTTATCACAACTAAGATAAGAAAGTAAAATTTGTAGTTTTTGAAAAAATAAGATCGAAACGTTAATCGCTTACATAAATTACGGAAATATACAGTTATCTAAGTATTTTTTCTACGTCTTTGTTTTTTGCTCGTTTATTCAGTCGTTTCTTTTAAATTTAATTATATATTGCTATGCCATATAACGAGCGTTTTATTATTATTGCTTATTTGTTTATTAAGATCAAAAAATTCCAATGTCGAAATCGATGTCAATAAAATTTTCTAACACAAATTAGGATTGACGTTAAAATAGCCACATAAATTGACGATAAAGCGATGCATAAAAGCTGTAAATACAATAGCTCATTTAAGTAAATATTTAAAAAATTTATTCGTACAAAAATTATTTAAATATGTATACGTCATTATAGAGATATAGAAGAAAATCACCGATTTTGCTTGTTGTTTTAGGTAATATTTGTAAAACAAAAGCTATATTAAAACTTCAGAAACATAAATACAAACTAGAAAGTATCTACTATCTGATAATATAGCAGTTTTTATACTGTTTGCAATTTTGCAATAATCAACTTTTACATAAAATAAGCAAAAAATAAGAATTTGATAAAATGGATCCCAAAACTGACACAGTAGGCAGTAATGTCACACATTTCTATTCTTTTCCTTTCACAGGAATCATTTATATAAAATACCTACAAGTAAACGTATATAAAATTTTCTAGAATCTTTTCACTTTGATGTAAAACATTTTTTGTTAATTTATATGTACATTACCGAGTTGGCAAGTAATGCGTTATTTGTAACGTTGTTACCATTACAAGTTATTATTTTTGGTAACACTTGAGTAACAACATTACATTTTCTTCTGAATAACATTAATAGTAATGCAGTTACATTTTTGGGGTAATGGTAACGATTTCACTAGTTACTTTTATCGTTACTTTATTTCTATTTACGTAAAAGTTTTAATTGTAATTAGAGCTTATACATATACATATATATATATTTTTTTTTAGTTTTATTCCTCTACTACAAAATAGAATTCTAACATCTTTTTTGTAGTTACAAGAATCTGCATATAATAGCGTTTTACATTGGCAGAACTAACTAATGCGTATTCGGTGCACTTTAAAGCCGCTGTACAATCAACGTAAAGATGTATGGTTCATAAAAATATAGAAACAAATTAAACCCCGAAATCCTCAATACATTCTATTATTTAATAAAATATACTTTATAGGCATTATGTCATCTCAGGTATTTTATTATAACATTTAGATTAGAGTTGTACAATGTACACTAACAATAAATAAACACAAATTTTGCCCAACGAAAAACGCTATAATATTCTATTAGTATTTGTAATTATTTATATTACAAATTTCTATCTTTTCCTTACGCTTGTGTGTTTGGTCTCTAATGTTTTTTTATGTAAGTGTTACACAATTTATCTGCGTTACTTTGATTCCAGTTTCTCTTACCCTTATTTAAAGCTATATTATAAAAAAAATAAAAATATATACAAATTGAACTGATTTAGGAGATATATAAAATGATGTAGTGTTATTAATAATGTAGCCAGTATTATTTAAACTATACAATTTGCAAGAGAAAATAGTACAAATTTTATTTTTACATTTATTCTTTTTTAGCTAATTTTGTATAGAAATTGCAAGCCAATATATTTTGAATTATGAATTTTTGTTTTTTTAATTATTATATCTAAACACACAGATCATATTTTTAGTATTAATAACGTATAACAGTTAATTTCCAAGAAATAAGAAAGTCTCTTTAGGAGACTTAATATATTTAGTTATTGTTGATTTTCCGTTATTATTTTCTATTTTTATGACACAAAAACAATTTTGCATTGCGATAAAATTTAAAAAAAAATTCACTTTGTTTGAAATTTTTCGTTTTCAATTTTTTAAAATCGAATTCTATGATCGTTAATTCTGGAAAATATCAGAAAAAAAATTAAATAGAAGAGAAATCAAATAGAATCGACGTAAAATTGATGCGTTAGTTATTTTTCTTGCGGAGGATTACGTAAATCCGGCATTTCCACAGAAGAATAACTGGGGGCATCGTTAATAGGTCGCGGTAAAGTGGCAAAGAATTGCCGGCCGTGAGTACCGCGTGTGCCCTGATGAATCCGGCAGGGCTTCTAAAACACGTTCTCTCCAACTCTCCCGCGAGTATTTTGTTATCGTGGCAAACGAACTAAATGACTGTTTAGTACAAGGCTAGCCGGCGATGAGAGAAGTTGACGACAGTGGCGATCCTGTCCACGCGTTCTTCACGGCCGAAGATAAGGCTGTCTTAAGAGCACGGACGTATCGTGACGTAAGTGTATCGATGATCGATCGATCGAGAAAAACCGACTATTTTTTTCATATTCGCGACTGCAAATCTTATTTGATAAAGGCTACGTTCCAAAATTTACTGCCAATATTGAAAATCTATAGTGCACGTAAACGATAGATTTTCAGTACTGGCAGTAAATTTTGGAACAGCCTGCAAATTGTTCGATTTACTGCTTGCTTCCACCAATGTAGATTAATTCGAATCTCGATTTGACACTTCATCTTTTTCTACTGTAATTGATCATTTACGGCCTTTATTTGCTCTATTTGTTGTGTATATTCATACGGTTTTAAAAGATACATTGTTCACATTTCTATTGTAATTCTTATCCCCGTTTCTACCAATACAGTTTTCAAATTTCAATCTTGATTCAATTAGCTCTTCATTTTCCTTTAGTTCTGGGAATAAGAAAAAGATAAGGAGCAAGTTGAATCAAGATTAAAGTTAATCTACAATGACAAACGGGGCATTTAAATTAAAAAAGGATGAAGAGTATGTAGAATTGAGATTAAAGTTAATCTACATTGGTGGAAATAGGCATAAGACACACAGATTTATTACGTGTGATAAAGAAATATGTAAGCGTACTAATGATTCCATGGAACATATATTTAGTACTCAGGCAGTATCTCTGAAGCTCAATCTTTATTTGAACGATAATCCCGACGATAAATTTCAGGCTTATCACTTCTTAACAATACCTCGAGTGTCAGCAGGATTCCGCGATAGTAAAATTTGCTTGAATTTTATTTAAACGAACAATAGTTGCCGTCATTCGGCCGCATTTTCGAATTTCTAGCCCGTTTATAAAGCGTAACGTTTACACTGGGTATTCTGGGTATTATTCGAATGGATCTGACGCGTGGCTCGTTGAAAACGCGTGCAAATTGCAATTTCACAGGACATCCGTCACCGTGACAACCGAGTGGTATTTTTTTTTTTTTTCTTTACGCGAAACTGTGCCAAATCTCGCATTCGCGACGAAGAAATTAAATTACTATTCGTACAAATCATGAATATAGTATCTTTGAGACGCGTAATTTATTGATTTTTGTCGTGTATTTCCAATTAAAAACGTAAAAAAATCTGTTGAAAATTAAAAGTTTCACTTTCTATCGATCGGAACGCAAATCAGATAGAGGAAACTAATTATTTCTTCGCGGAAAAAAACGATTTTACTGAAATATCAACAAATTTAACTGGATATAGATCTGGAAATAATTTTGTTAAACCATCAACATTTTTAGATAGGGCACTCAAACTGATTGCTAGAATGTCAAAGCTCAATCAGTAGTTTGAGTGCCCTATCTAAAAATTTTGATGGTCTAACAAAATTATTTTCAGATCTGTATCCAGTTAAATTTTTTGATACCTCAGCAAAATCGTTCTCTCTGTATTTCTAACTGAGTTTTAGCATGTATGCACTTGTGTATGATCAAGTGGCTCATAATTTTCCATTCTTTAATTATCGTTCTTATATTCATAATCATTGTTTTATCAGATCTGTGCCTAATGCGCTTG